ACGTATATTTTAACGGAAGGAAAAGGTCAATTTGATGCCAAAAAACAAAAACTTGTTTTACACGTCAGGACATGAAATGTTTGAAACACGCGGTCACTTTTCAAATAGGTTGAAATTAATTTTTAGAAATTTAGACAAACGGTTGATTTGATGGTAGCTGTAATTAGGCCAGTAAGAGGGAAGTAAAAAAGATAGTTTCAAATAATTCATTCATTCTTTTCACTAAGATTAAAACGTTTACGATAGACAAATTTAAAGTGTGCAAACAACGGTTTCAATAAAAAATCAAACTTATCGAGCGAAAATGGATGATTTTTGCACCAGTTTACATTTTTTATCAGCTAAAACTGCAGTTCGCTTAAACACCACTAATTCAGGTTTTACCTTGATGGCGCTGATGCAGTGAAGATGTCACTGGTGTGGGCTCAGTTCAGCGAAAATGTCATGGGAAGTGTCTTTCCACTGTAAAGAAACACTTTATAACAGTATTGAAGCCTAGTATACATATATTACGATCAAAAACGAAGAGGTCAAAATGAGTTATAATTTCTCTTGGTAAAACTAAACTTTGAACTGGCCCCGTTTGCCCACACTGAGAGTAGTTACACGCTTCTGAGATATCTTTTCGAAAAAAATTCTTGGGATGTATACGAAAAAAAGAAAATCGTCAGGACAACTGGTACTTTGAGCTCGGAAATGAAATTTTTATTAAGGAAATGGCAATCTTTGAACGAAATTCGTTCAAATGAGCCGGTTTTACGTTTACGTTTCCCTTATCGGCCTTGGTGATCTGTAGGCGACTTCACCGTACATATGTGACCTTGGCCCGAAAGATGCATTTTGACAAGATGTCCGTGTTTCTTGTTACAAGCTTTTTCGTGGTACAATGTAATTACAGTGCTCCCTGCCAATGTCATCGAATCGGAGATTAAAACCAAACACTGTGAGTGAGATAGCACTTCTTTTGTAGCAAAGTGGTTAAAAATACATAAAGTTTTCACCGGAAGTGTTTCGATTAACTAAACCGCTATACAGCGTATTATTTACAGCTTGCTATTTTGTGGGTATTTCATTTCAATTTCATTTCTAATATTAATTCCAAAGGAACCAAAGCTTCGACGATAAACCTATACATAGACTTCTTCGCATTTAACTAGAATTGATCTTTACTTCTTACTGAAAAATTGTGAAAATTTTCCACTCGTCATATCGACCGCACACAGCCAACCCTTACCCTAGCCCTAACTCTATGAAACCAACAGACTTGAAGTGTCGCTACTGCACCAGCAATTTCTTACTATGCGACAAATGCAATCAAAGAGGAGATTTTGTTGGAAAGGTAAACGAATTTTATCAACATGCTTTATTTCCATTTTATATACATTAGCTCTCGCCAATATTTTCCTTTCGTTCGGACGGGCCATTCCATCTTATTTCCCACACTGACCTAACGATAATTACGAGAATTTGGGGTTGAATGCTCACTGCACATACATAAACGGATGGCACAACTGATCTTCATGAGATCATAGTAATAAAATGGGAGTTAGGTAAAACAATCGCCTTCAGGGAAGCATTGCAAAACGCAGAAACATTTAATAATCATCCACTTTTCGTTACAGTATCATCACATTGTCAAGTGATGAGAAAAAATGAATTGAAAACTATAGTCGTGATACGCTAATTACTACACTCCCAAAGCTAAAAGTACCATTAAGTTATGCCAGTGGGTTAAATTGCAAACTCAAGCTGGCGATAGCACATGAGACATCACTCATCACAGAATCTTTTCGTGATTATATCAACGGACTTATTGCCATGAATATCTGCAAGTTTGGCTGCGATCTCATCAGGGCAATATTGCTTATTTGTTTGGTACCGAAAGTTCGGGTTTTCACTTAGAATTACTTCCTTAACAACTTCTGCCACTTGTTCTGCGCTCAACACCTTCTCCGGCTGAGCCCAATATTTAGCCCATCTACTGCTGACTCTTTCCTTTATGAGTAGAGATTTTTGGTCCACCGTTGAGTAGTCCACTCCCTCGGAAATTACAGCGGTTTTCATTGGAGTGTCCACGGGACCTGGCTCGATGAGAACGCATCTACAGAACAAAAGGGCAATTAACAATGGTTCCTTTTTCTGTTATGAGAGGGGGCTAAAATATATAGGGGGATAAAATATATGGGAACTGGGATTTGCCTATTTTTTTTTCTCAGGGAAATTTGGATTTAAGTCACTGGGACCTGGAATCACAAACAAAAATATGTGACTCAGATTTGG